TACTGAAATGCTACCAGAAGCCTGCCTGACTTTTAGACTCCTTGTTTGTTCCTTGCCTGAGATGACTGAAAGCGTTATGGTTGTCTGGCTTGAATCTCACACGTTGTTATTTCTCATGCAGGGATTGTATTGCTTCTGCATCAAATGATGATTGAAGGCCATGTCCCTAATCATTATGTCATTAGTGCATGCCACTATAAATGTGGGTGCAACAGCTGTGAGCTGGATGTTGCCTATTTGTGGAGCAGTCAACAAGCCCTTTCTGCCAATCGCAGAGTTGGTCGTAACTTTACAGCATTGAAAGAGAGTTTCTCCTGTGATTTCTGTTTGTCTCCATCCCCACATTTCTCAGGTTTAGTAGCTCTAGGGGTCTCTCCAACAAGGATGTTAAATAAACCTGGACGGCTCTTTTTAACTGGCTGCATCATATTCTGGAGGGGGCTGGGGGGGGTAGAAAAAGAAAAATTACCTAATTAGAAGTGCTTGAACGAAGTGGGAAACTGCACATGTACGTGGACTTGGGTAGGTAAGCTTGGTGCTCCTTATGCTCCTTGGTGCTACTGCCTTCCCCTCTGCTCGCTCTCTCTGGTATCTCTGCAGTTTCTTCCAAGTGTCTGTATCCCTCCTCTGCTGCCTCCTTCCTCACTGCTGGCCCTGTGTCCCCAAACCCCTCTCTGCGAGGGGCTCATGGCCAGGCCAGCATTTCCCACTGGGGCACAGCCCCTTTTTCCTGGCCACCCTGCCCTTTCCTCTCGGACCAGTGAGTTTCTAGCCTTGGTGCTCCCAGGAGAGGTAGGTGTGTAGGTGCTGGAGATGTTACTGGCTGCTCTCAGCTGCGTGTTGCATCTTCAGGAAACTCTGAAATTGTTTGACATTTGGCTGTGCAGATGGATGGAAGAGTTGAAGCTTTTGATATCATGGGTTTTGCTTGCTTTCTTATTTTCCAAAATATGATCACTGATACCTAATTCTGGTTGTGACGAGATAGGTTGTTCTATTAACTGGGTAGAGTTCACAAATACAGAAGTGACATAAAACTGGCTGCTTATACAGAATACTGCAGTACAGAAGGCTTTTTTCCCCACCAGTTATACTCCACTCAGTACTACACTGTGGGACTGAATTATCTGATTTCTATTGCCTCTGTGTACAGCAGCACCTGGATGGTAATTTTTGGCTTTTTATTCTTGTGCCTGGTCTTTGGTGGCTTCTCTAAATTTTGTGCCTTTTTGCAGCATAAAAAAAAAACAAACCAACCTTCCTTCAGTGAGAAATATTGCAATGTATTAACTAGAGGCTTTGGGAGGGAAATTCCTGATGAGAAGCAATTCTGTTGGAAGGGAAGCAAGGGAGTTCAAGAACGTTAATTAAACATGCACATCTTCTGAAAGATCCAAAATAATTGAGAGCTGAGAACAAAATGTTGCTTAATGGTATCTCTGGGTCAGACTCTGAGCCTTTGATGTCTGATGCTGCAGAGCTTGTCTCCAGAGACAGGGCAGGGGAAGCCGGTGCCTGTTGAGTGCTCCGACGAGAGAGATCCTGCAGGAATTGGAAGGAGTGGTGTCTTTACGCAGCTGATTTCTTTTTGTCTTGTGTCTCTGCCTAAAAATGTATTTTAAATTCATTACTCTTGTAATTTAAGCAGTTGAGTTTGTTTGGTTTTTTTTTTTTTTTTTTTCGAAATAGATATTTTATAGTTGATGTCAAGGGTCATTTGTGTGAAATTACCTGTCGTCTGTGGCTGGGAACGTCGTTGCTTCTTACACCTTGCTTCTGACCTGTTCTTAAATTTCTGGCTTTCTCTGCAGCCTTAATTGCTGCTCATTAAGGCTTCTCTGATCCAGACCAAATAGTAATGGAGATGGATGGAGGGGCTGACTCACTGAAAGTGCTTCAGAGATTGTGGGAAGGCATCAGGTCACTTCAGTTCACTAAATATAAACAAATCCAAAGAGCAGAGTTACTTAAAAGTAGAGATTGAACAAACTTCTCAGAGTGTTAGGAGGTACTAAACATTCACACAAAATAATCATAATGGCTTTTTCCTGCGCTGGGGTTAGAATGAGAATAAAAAGGGGAGGTGCTTCCCAAAGCATGGCAGTCTTGGCTTTCTGCAGAAATAAGGGGTATAAATGGCAAATGTGAGGTAACTGCTGCAACCGAACATAGACCTCTCCTGGCCTGGGGTGCAAAGGTGCATGGAATGGACTTTCTGTACTCACAATGCCTTGGGATCACAGTGAAATAAAACATTGCTTTTTTTTATTACCATACACTGCCTAAAATCAAGTGGAGCAATTCTGGGATACCTTGTGTGCCTAACGCATGGCTGTTACCATCCTGTGTCATGGGTCTGATCTGCTTGTCCCCTGCCTCACACGTTGGGCTGGCCACAACTGCTGGTGCAGTGTTTAAAAAACAAAGCAAAACAAAACCCACCTGTTAAAAAAATTGCTCAGGCAAAACCTCCAAACAAGCGGGGAGTGATTTCTGGTAGAAAAGAAAGAAAAAGAATGATTTAAAAAATCACAGGGAAGGACTTAGCCCTGCCTTCTGCCTGGAAATATTTTTTAAATTTAGATTTCTCTTAGAACCTGAATTTTTTTTTTTTTCCTCCCCACAAAACGGATTACTGGAATTAGAGAGTTTTAGCCCTCATCCCACGAGATTCCAAATATAAAAGAGTTACATTTGGGATATGTCTGATCATTTTTGATCTAAAGCACATGAGCACATAATTCCTATTAAGTTGGAGATTGATGCTTAATTGAGGAATTAGCGATGCCAGAGCAGGGCTTTCTTTGGGGCCGTGTAAGTGTGACCAAATATGGTTTCAGGATCTCAGACAGAAGCATCGGAGTTGCTAATTGCACTGGGGGTGTTCTCTAAGTGGTGCAGGAGGCTTGAGACACTGAGACGGGTTGCTCTGTCATCCTGCCAGCCGTACCACACTGCTGAGTTACCTTAGAGGGACGCCAGAACTGATCTGTGACCTCTATTACTAATACATGGGGGGAAACACTCCTATGACCCTGGTGTTTCAAAAGCATTGACTCATCTTTGTTGTTTATTGATGCAAAAATCACTTTAAATAAGTTGTTGTGTTGTTTTTTTTTTTTTTTTTCCTGTGATAGATGAGAGGATGCAACTTCTTTCCATCTTGCTTTTGTTGTCTTTGTGCAGTTTGCCTCATCTCCTTGATGAAAGCAGATTAAGGGACTGGAACTTCTAATGGCTGTTACAATGAGTCACAGTTGCATGTCTAGACTCCTTAGACGATTTTTACATTTTCTGACTAGCAACTAGGATGAGAATTCCTCTCTGATAGATTAGTTACAGAGTCAAGTCCAAGCATAATAGTTTTCCTCTTAGAAGAGTTTTAAGAGTTTGTCAAAGCTGTATCTCAACTTAGTGTTTCTCTGCTGAAACCTTCATGATGCCTTCTCAGCTCTCATCTTCAAGAAGTTCTTTCATCTCATATTTACACAGCCAACTTTTTTTTTTTTTTTTGGGGGGGGGTGGGTGGGTGGTTGAGGGGGAGATGGAGAGAGACTAGGCTGGTGCACTTGCTCCTGGCCCCAAATCAAAAATCCTTTTCATATGTATCTCCTCTTTCCTGAAGTGTACAGGTGTTCATAAAAATGTGATTCACTTGCATGTTGCTCCTGCTAACAGGGTGGTAGCCTTCTTAGTGGTGTTCTAGTCCCAAACAGCAGCAACAGCAAACCAGTGACCTTAATAATGGTCATGGCCTTAATAATATATGCTGTTGTGTGGCTTCCCAGCTCTGGCAGGCTGGGTGCAGCCTTTTAGGAGAGAGAAAACTAGTATGTTAGGTGGGAAAAATCTAATAAAATCATCTAGCAGCCAATTCCAGATAGCAGTGATATCTGTAGCTTAATAAAACGAATAAAGTCCTAAAGAGTGTTGCCCGATTCTGTTTGCAATATGTTTGCTGGTAATGTTTAAAGAGACAACCTGGTTGGTGTTACCTGCAGTGACCTTAATAATGGTCATGGCCTTAATAATATATGCTGTTGTGTGGCTTCCCAGCTCTGGCAGGCTGGGTGCAGCCTTTTAGGAGAGAGAAAACTAGTATGTTAGGTGGGGAACATCTAATAAAATAATCTAGCAGCCAATTCCAGACAGCAGTGATATCTGTAGCTTAATAAAACGAATAAAGTCCTAAAGAGTGTTGTCCGATTCTGTTTGCAATATATTTGCTGGTAATGTTTAAAGAGACAGCCTGGTTGGTGTTACCTGAAGATACTGGAGCAAAAGTTTGGTGCTGACAGGGGCAATTCTTCTTTCTGCCCACTCGCAGCCTTGTTTTCCCCGGGATCTGCTCATGCAGCTGGGATGCCTGAGCCAACTCGTGTGTAAGAGCATCTCAGCCCATGGGTGATGTCTGGAGCATCCCACCATGGGCAGCGTGTGGAGCAGCCTGCTGTCAAGGGCAGTGCACCCAACAGCAAATTTCAGCCACTAGCAGGGTGAACTTCACCTGCTATAATGAAGCAAGTTGTAAATGAAATGGTTCAATAATTGCGGTTTACTTTTTTCATCTCAAAACACAGTAAAAGCAACAGTGGCTCTCTTTATCTACAGATGTAGAAAGTTCAAAATTAACTCGTCGGTACCCTTTCTTAAATATACTTGATTTCCCTGGAGGAAAGACTGATCTGATCTTGTGAAAGTCTTTGTCGATGTGACTGGTACCCTTAATTAGTTTGAATAGATTTCTTATCTGCAGAGAATGTAATCAAGCTATTACTATAGTCTTCATTTTATTATTAAAATTGAACTTCCTTTCTTAATACTTGTTCCAACTAATTATTTGGTTTATTTTTTATTATTAAAATTGAACTTCCTTTCTTAACACTTGTTCCAACAAATTATTTGGGTTAAGGGCTGGGAACTGTAACAGTTAAAATATCTTAAATTTTTGATATAATTTGCTAATTCACTAAAGCTTTCTAAAATCCTCTCATTTACAGGGTTATGCGCAGAAGTATATTGTGAAGAACTACTTCTACTACTACTTGTTCAAGTTTTCCGCTGCTTTGGGTGAAGAGATTTTTTATATCACTTTCCTTCCATTTATCTACTGGAACATAGACCACTCTGTGTCTAGGAGGATGATAATTATTTGGTCTGTAAGTATTTCTGTGACTTATTTAAACGTGGTGTTGTTAATTCTTCTACTGTAGCAAATGAACATTTAAGAGGAAGAATATCCCTTCAAACCAACTGTAAGTATTTCTGTGACTTATTTAAACGTGTAGTTGTTAATTCTTTTGCTGTAGCAAATGAATATTTAAGAGGAAGAATATCCCTTCAAACGAACAAAATCCCTTCAAACCAACAAAAAAACCCCAAAGCCAGCATTATTTATGTGTAACTGGCATGTTCAGGAAGCAGAGGCATGCGGCGCTGCGAGGAGGCAAGAGGTGTGAGCTGACACACCGGGACTGTTCATCTCCCTTACGTCTTGCACCGACTTATTTTTTTCAGCATAATAACTGATTTAGCTGCTTCTGATGGAGTTTGCACAGAACAGTTGGCAAAACACTTCCTTCCCAAAGTATTGTGGTGTTTTAAGGATCCTTCTTTGTAGGAAATCTTTCTCTTACCCCGATTTCTTCCGGGTAACCTGTTCGTATAGTTCTGGCTCAGTTGAAATCAGTATAAATCTAATAGGAAGGGGACTGGAGGCTGCAGTGGAATAAACAAGGTGCTTCTGCAGTCACTTGGGGGGCGTGTGTGTGGAAATCAGATTCTAGGTTGAAGACTAAGGCTTTAAAAGCATTGATTTTTGTTACCACCAGAGCATTCTCAAATTAACTGGCTTCAGCATTGCTTCAGGCTTTACAAATGCAGTTTGGGGTATTCAGAATAATATATTTCCTTTCTGGCACTGAAAACCAGAAGATAACCAAGCATTTCAGTCTGGGAATGGCTGTTGTTTTGTCACTGCCATTGCTTGCCTTGGTATTGATCAGATCTTTGCTGCCCAAATAAGACCGTTTTAGAACAAAGAAGGGAGGTAGGAAGCATCTCTGGCAGATGGCAGACCCTGGAGGTTTAGCTGTCAATCTATATTGATTTAAGAAATTGAAGCTTGGTAAAAACTTGGATGTGATATTTAGCTTTGTTTCTATATAGTGAAGCTTCTCCTTGGCTTAGTCAATTCTGGCTAATAATATTCTGCCTATTGTCCAAATAATATGATGAGAAATAATAAAAACCATTTGAACTGGGTCATACACTTCAAATGCACCCGGTCTGGGACAGAAGGCACCAGTTGTTCTGTGCCAGTAACCCCAGTCAATACATTTTATAAAGAGAACATGAAAAATAACTTGCAGATGAAATCTAGAAGTAGGTGGACACTGTATAATTAGAGTTGGGGTTTGGCCAGGAGTACACCTACTGCTTCTGGAAACGTTCCATAGAAGATGATAATTGGTAGGCACTGCCTTCTGCGTTTGCATATTGCTCAAAAAAATGACTCTTTAGAGCTCCTCGCATGCCTTTCTGCACACTTGCCTTGCCTTTGCCTTGCAAGGAGTCCATCTGAGTACTGGCCAGATCTAGGCTGGTTTAATTAGAGCATTCAAGCATGTGATGTTATGATTATTAATATTATTCTTTGACTTAGGAAGTTCCGGACTTGCATTTTATAACTGAAAAGGAGAAGCTGTTTTAAATACGCAGACCTGTGACGACTATCTGTAGTTTTAAAAACACTTTAATTATATGTAGCTGTGAAATGGCCAAAAATGTCCACGCGGGCTATGCATTAACGTTATGGCAAGCTCAGTGGGTGGCTTGTTTGCTGGTGAGCAGGCTGGGGAGAGGGGTCAGCGTTCCCGGTGCTGTGAGGGGTGCTGGTCGGTCTCAGGAACCTCGGTGGCAGAGACAGAGGTGGTGCTGAGGGTGGGACTTCATTCTGTGCCACTGGGGACTTGCACCTCTGAGTTTCTGCTGCACGTTGGACATGCCAGAGTCAGGGTCCCAGGATGAGCCAGGGGAGTTTCTTCCCTTAAAAAAATAAAGCCACATTAATGCTGTTTACAAGGTCTTCCTGCCATCTTGTCTGTGGTAGTTTATGCAGAGCCAGTCACACACATTTGAGAACGATGAATTTGAACTGGAGCGGGGCCAGAAATGATTAGGGAACAGGATATTTCCTGAGCAGAGACTGAAAGCTTAGATAAGTCCCTAACAAAATGAAGTCAGAGAGAGAACGGGGCTGGCTGTAAACACCAGGGGAAGGAAAGAGCTTCTTAAAAATGAAAGAGTAGTCACAAGAAGAAATGTGCAGAAGGCAGTTGTAACTAAATTAAGTTGAAGCCAAAGGTTGTGAAATAGCTCTAGAAGGGCAAAGGGCAGTAAGAAAAATCATGAAGAGACTTTATTTCAGCAGCAGCAGAGGAGTGGACTTGGTGCCCTGGGATGTCTTCTCCAGTCCTGGGTCCCCAAAACTGGCTGCTTGTGCATTTCTGTTTAGCTGGATGGCTCTGGGAAAAGCTGGCTGTGGTCACATCCAGGTGCTTCAGAAGCTTAAAGCAGCACGTTGTGCTTCCGAGGTGCCTTTCCTCCGAGGATTCACAAGTATGTATGCAGGCTTTATCCTTCTCTTTGCGGATAGACAAGGAAAATAGCTGCCTGAAACTTCTGAACAAGGTGCTGGGTCAGTGCTTCCCTTCTCCAGCAATTTGAAGTAAACACTCTCGAATCTGCACAGGCGAGGCTTTGGTGCCTGTGACTATTGCTACTTCCACCAGGAAGTGCAGAGATGAAAAATAACTTCACATCAATGAGCCTGCAAATGTACTTTAAATTTACTGCACATCTTGGCTCAAAAAGTGAAAGCTCAGTTTAGTTTTTTAATCTCTGCACCCCTTCAGGGTTGAAAGCTTTATTTTGACATGGAGTTTCAGAAGCAAGGTAGAGACCTGGAAAAGAAATCCTTACAGTTTCTGCTTGCTGTTCAGTATTTTCTTTGAAATTTTTTCTTCTGGTTATTTTTTTCAGGGCGCTTGGATGTACAATGTATCCACACCTCTTTTGAGCCTATAGAACTTTAATTTATACAATATAAATAAAAGCTGGCCGGTGTGGATGTTGTCAGGGCAGGTGTGGAGGCTGTCGGTGTATGACAGCAGTAGCTGCTGGCTCAGGTGAAGATGGCATCTCAGAAGGAAGCAGAGTTTGGGTGGCTGGTGGTGCCAGGTGGGCACCCGCCAGGCTCCTCGAGCAGCGCTGGGCACAGGTATCTTCAGCGAGTCTAAAAAGGTCCTGGGTATGAATCCGTGGCAATTTAGTTTCCCATCTTGCTTTTCAGAGGATCCGTTTTCCAAAGGCTGTTGGCATTTAGTTACATGGGAATGATGATCCCTGAACTCGGGCTCTCAGGGTAACCAGGAGTTTAATAACCAGCAGGAATTTACTTGCAGTCAAGATGCCACGGACATTGCTGTACCCTGGTTGAACCCCTGGATGCTGCTTTGAAAACTTACTTTGCAGAAAACTTTGGGTTTAGTGATTGTTATATGTTTGTTAGTTTTGGTGCTTTTGCAACATTTCACCAAAACAAGCTTGGAACAGCTGGTAAACACAGTCACTCAAAAGTCAAACTCTTGAAAGCGCTATACATTGCAGTGAATAAGAACACGTAAGACTAGTCAGACATGTAACTAACTAAAAATTGTAAGAATAAAAAAAGTAAATGGTCCATGAAAGAAAATGCTGCGTGCAAGATGCTAAAGTGTTGATTGAAGGAGAATTTTGTCTGTGCTAGTGGCTGTACTCTGCCCTTGAAGAAAAAGTGCCAGTGAGGCTTTCATAACTCAGACCAGCTGGCAATAATTTAAGGTGAAGTTTAAATTGGAAACCTTTTGTATTTCACTAGAACTCCCAGGTGTAACAGCTTTGCAGCTTAGGTGTTAGATGATAAACCAGATATCAATGTGACAGTAGTTTTTCCTGTTACCAGGAGACTAAGCCCAAATTTGTCTTATTTAAACCTGTCATAACATAGTCAACTACCTTACAGTTTTTGTCCGAAGGCCTCTTTAAAAGAGAGTAGATGTCCTAGGATGTTGGTTGGTTATTCTCCTGGAGGCATAAGGCTGTCTTGGTCTTGTTCTGGTTTTGTGTTTCTGAAGTCTGACTTGAAAGAGCCAAAGTCCTCCCTCCTATACAAATACATATATTTTTAAGAAGCTCTCTGTGTTGTCCCTTCCCTCCTTCTGTCCCCTGCTGCCCCTTGCCACGACATGCACTCTGTGCTGCTGCTCGCCGCTGAGCACAGCACTGCTTGTGGTGGGCTGGAGACCTTCCTCTTGGAGGTGCTGCTCACCTCGTGGCTGGGACAACACAAGTGGTGGAGTATCCCACCGGCTTAATGTGACCTTGGACACGTCCCATTGCACCTGACCAAATCCTTGGCCAACATTGTGTAAAGTTCCCATGCAGCTAGCAGAGGATTGATGTGCTTTCTGGAAAACAATGACCACGTTGGAGGTGGCAGATCCTTGTGCTCCCCTCAATGTACCCTCTCCTGTAAGGCGTGGGTGTCTCATGGAGGTGCCCAGCCTCATGGTCACTGTTGGCAGCTCTGTGTGTGGGTGGCATTCAGGTGGCTCAGGGAAGATGTGGGGAGCAGGATGTGATCAGAGGGTGGCTTGGGGTGCCCAGGGTTCTGCGGGGCTGCCAGCAGTGCTGCTCTGTGACTTTCACGGTAATTTCCCTGAAGCCAAGCCTTAGTTCTTGGCATTGACTTGGGTGTAGGAGGAGCATCTCCAGAAGAACATACCCTTCCTTGCTCTGCTCCTTTTTCACTGTGAACCAAGTGATGCTTGAGGGGCACAGCCACAGCCTCTATCAGCTGCAGTGCTATCTGTTTGCTTAAACCATAGTTGGGGGATGCTGAGAAGAGCAGCTGTGAGCAGTGCAGACAGGACCCTTGGTTTAATTTCTATATGGTGAATCCAAGTCACGCTTTCCTTGAGAACCACGAAAAATAGCTGGCCCTTTCAGGATACAGTCCTTGCTTCTGCTTGACTAATCTGCTAATGCCAGTTTATTAATAGTGCTTTTTTTTTTTTTTTTTTCTCCCCCTCTTTCCAGTGTTCCTGATGTGCTCTGT